GGAAATTTGTCTTTCCTATGTATGGCACAGCTTTGTAAACCCTTTGAACTTAATGGCTAATGATTTTTGTAGAGTAGTAATAAAATAACGTGTTTCCTTGTAGATCTCCGAGAAATGTGTCAAACATTTTTGTTCGTTTGTCTTGATTGTTAAAGAGATTAACGCATAACGCAATATTTATTGCTATCCGGTGAACATCAAGCGATCTGGTTGAACAGAACTTGTTTTGGAAACAACTGACTAAACAGAATATAATTTTTATCAACAACGGGAAAAAAATGCACAGAGTTGTTTGTTACTTGCTTAAACTTTGTTGGTTTACTGACAGCTGGTGCTGAATTTCTTATTTGTAGTAAAATAGCTATACGCCTTTCAGTGGACCCAATCGCACACTTAGTGCTAAATACCGAAAAAAACCGGTCAATCCGGAAGAGCCACTTATTTGTCCGTTACTGATCGCACCACTTTCCATGCCAATAATTTCTTGGCAACCCAAAGCTTTAAAGAAAGGAAACAGGAGCATTAAAGTACTTATGTTGCTTTTTGCTTACACTGAAATCTTATCATCAGTTGAAATTCTCGAGTATATATATTTCGTTGAAACGGTAGTCTCGCAATACCGTTATTCCTTTCACGGGACAACATCCAGCGCACTGAACTGAAGACAGAGAATCATAACTATCAATCGAAGGTCACGATAGATCTGTGCTTGTCAGTTAAAATCATAGTATATGGATTCTTAACCTTAAAACAGCTAGCCGCACGGCACCGCTTGTTTTGTGATTGTACTTGAACTGGCCATTAGAAAGCCATCAATCCTGTTGAGAATTCTAAAAGAGTCATCCAAGCAGGGCAGACCTCTATTTGTATGTCTTTAAAATGAGCCCATGATCCAGTTTGACCGATTGTTAGCTGCGTTATTACCTTTGATGATGTAAACCTGATTGGCCCACATTCCACCTTCACGATCAGCCCCACACTCCGTAGAGTTTCCATACATGTCGAAGGTCGGCGGCGCAGTAGCACCAGCAAAACACTGGCCACCATCCTGAACTGCAAACATGCGGTAGCCCGCTCTTAGTTGCAGCCACGGCGCACGGGAATTTAACAGGTTTCGTTGTAATATTTAGCACAATTTTCACATCCTACTTTTGAAAAAAGGTGTCCCTCCGAACTTTGTAGCATGTTTGGTGTTTCCCGGAATAGCATTTTCTTTCATTATATTCATTTCTTCCTCAGAGATATCGACAAAGCGCGAGGCGATCATTTTGAAAATTAGTCGGAGTTTAATATAACGGAATAAGACGCCATTCTCGACCAATGAGAGCGCGAGAATTTCTATGATTACCTGAGCAATTATACTAAAATGATATATTTTTTGCATCCATCTAGTTACCAGTGCAGTCTTTTCCATCTCTATGAAATCCATCTTTGCATGTGCAGTTATAGGATCCCCGGGTGTTGTTACACACAGCATTAACATCACACTTATGTGTTCCGTTGGTACACTCGTCGATATCTGAAACAACAAAAAAACTATAACTGGGAAACTTTTTATTGGAATGTTATGATTACGTATATTTTTGCTCTGAAACATAGCGTGCCTTATTTGTTACTATTTTATTGCTTCACACAAAAACTTCCCACCGTCTGATAAAATTCCTTGCTTTTGAATACGAAAAAGAGGTATTAAGAGGCATTATTAAAACCAAACTGTGTTACAGATAGTTACCAGTACAGTTTATTCCATCTCCATAAAATCCATCTTTACACGTGCAGTTATAGGATCCCCGGGTGTTGTTACACACAGCATCAACATCACAATTGTGTGTTTCTTTAGTGCACTCGTTTACATCTGAAGAAACAAAAGAAATTTCAGTAGCATTAGTCGTTTGGCTCCGTGACAGATGTTTGTATTTACCCTCTAGCACATTTGTTTGGCTTTTAGACTTCATGTTAAGCTCCAATCAATCAGCTAGGAAGAGTTTTCTATTAGTCAAAGTCCACTCGACTGTGCCTTGTCGACACATCGCTCGAAGAAAACAGTCTGCATGGCCCATAGCAATCCAATGGTTAAATAGGAGTACAGGTCAGTTTAACAAGCGCAGTCTCAAAGGGAGATTCCTTATTGTAACTAGTAGAGTTAATGACGATATTTCTTACCCACTTCACAGTCATGACCAGTAAATCCGAGAATGCACAAACATTGGTAATCTCTGTCTGTAAAACCGGCCTGGCAGGTTGCATTGTTCTGGCACAGTTTCTTTGCACAAGCATTCTTTAAATAACAGAAAAGAAAAGAAAACGATTGTTTGGCGACAGCGAGAGAAAATGACAGCTAAAGGGAGACAGCACAATTCCGGTAGGATAAAGAATTTTAAAGCAGAGTTGTAGCAGAAAAAAAAAACGGAAATTATAATCGATTGCGTGCAGTTTGGAATGTTGTAAAAACGTTAATGGTGCAGAAGCAGGATAGCAGGCCAGTCATAGAATCTCTCCGCAGAATTTATCTTTAATTTATATTATCGTCTTGGATTTGAAAGCTCGAAAAACACTGGATAGAAAACAAATACATAACGAGACAACTTGCGTTTCCTTACAATTTCGCAAATGCGGCCATAAATTAAATGTAAAGAATCACTATGATAACTACAGTCTTTAACCTGGCAGTTGAATGTTTACCTCAGCTCCGCGATATACATAACTTTCGTTCGTCGCGAGGTCTCCTGAGTGTTCGTTGTGGTGTTCATATGTAACGTTATTCAGATCACATCTGTGTTTTCCATCTGTATCTGCTATCTTTTTAAAGTTATAGCTGACACAGTTTGGCTCCAGGTAGCATTTCAGTTGGCAGATATCCTCATTGATGACGTCAATGGTTCGTATCACGTGATTATCCAGACG